AATATGGTAATAAATTTAAATTACCACCAGGTATGGTAAGGCTATCCACGTATAGTAATAAATCATATAGTAATAAATCATAATTAATCCACGTATAGTAATAAATCAATCCAGGTATGGTAAGGTCATAACTCAGGAAATTTTGAATATGGTAATTATATGGTAATAAATTTAAATTACCCCAAAGGCTATCAATCCAGGTATGGTAAGGCCATAACTCGGGAAATATCAAATATGGTAATAAATTTAAATTACCACCAGGTATGGTAAGGCTATCCACGTATAGTAATAAATCATATAGTAATAAAGCATAATTAATCCACGTATAGTAATAAATCAATTCAGGTATGGTAATGTCATAACTCAGGAAATTTTGAATATGGTAATTATATGGTAATAAATTTAAATTACCCCAAAGGCTATCAATCCAGGTATGGTAAGGCCATAACTCGGGAAATATCAAATATGGTAATAAATTTAAATTACCACCAGGTATGGTAAGGCTATCGATCCAGGTATGGCACGCCCTCACCTGATCACCTATCACAATCTCCAGCCTCATGCACGCACCAAAGAACCCACCCGGCACCAAACGCAGCTCCTCTCGATCCCCTCAAGTAAACGCCGCCGCCGTCATGCGATCTTCCTGACACAGACGCCGTCGCCGCCTCCTTCCCACCTACGGCGTCCCCCACGTCCATGGTGACGGCGCTCGCGTCCTACACTGACCCTCCGCCTCATATAGGTTGGTCGTTGATGGAGTGGGATGTGCCGCTGCGGTTTGGGGAGGCGCAATCACGATCTGGTTGGGATCTCAGTGTGGAATCGTTCTCTGCGATGAAGGATGGCGCTGCCTCCCTGGCAAATGGGATCGGAGGAAGGGGCTCTACTCGTGAATGTCGGCGAGGCAGCGGCCGAAGGCGAGCCCGACGGTGAGCACGGGTGTTCGTCCCATGGAATAGGCGGCCACGGAGGGCGGATCTGAGGCCACCCCAATCGCCGGTGGCCCTTCCTCCCATCGATCATCGCCTCCATTCTCTCTCTCCTCTAAATCTTTGTCGCCCCTGCCTGATTCTGGCCGACGCCATCCGGCTCTCGCATCGACCACCACCAGCACGGCTGCGGACGAGGCGCAACCGCAGACGCCGCCGCCGCCATCCTCATCCACCTCCTCCACCATCCTTCCCAGCCGTCGTCGGGGGCACCCGCCATCTGCGCTCTAGCCCACCCGCTCCCTCCTATCCCCTCCCCCTGCCTGCCAGCCCCGTGATCCATCGCACAGATGGCAGGTACTACAGCGACCTCCTCCCCAACGGATCCGGCCTCCTCCGATGGAGATCCATCCTTGGCACCGCCTTATTCTCATGCGTGCACGTCTATATCAACGTCTCATTCCACCTCACCTGAGCCTTTACCTTCCCACCTCTGTTTCAGATCCACATCACTTTGCAAGGTATGTGCTTATTGTTCCGAACTGGATCGATGGATTGTGCAAGGTACTTTGGGTGTCGTCATTGACGGCAATTGTCACGCCATGCTACCATCGGAGGGGTCCCTCATCGATGATTAGGGTCTTCCGAACTGCACGAGCTCCATTGAGAAGGATGTTTTTAATTCTGGTTTTGCCTACATGCTTTCTTTGCCTGTATCTACTTAGCTAATGTCTTTTTATAGATAGTAGCTGCTGAAGTGGTGATCAAAGTTGTTCACTATAAGGAAACAACCATGATAACAAAAGTGTATATTCCCTGACCTTTGACCTGAAATACTTTTTCATTAGAAACTTGCAACAGCCAGGCATTGAAGTTAGCAACAGCTTCGTACGTACTGAACTAATTTGCAGCAACACGTACTGAACTAAGTTAGGTTATGCTCATCGTTCCAACATGCTTAGTGATAACCACCTAGCAAGCTGATCAAACATGAAAAAATTGAAGTGCTACTGCTAATCGTACTATTCTGAATGTGAAAATCTATTTAATTGGCTCTTCTCTAATTGTACACTTGCATAAATCTCAGATCTTGCAAATTACAGTATAACCATAAAAGTCATGCTTTGACTCCTATAGGGCCTTTTGCACTTTAATATGACTAATAGTTTGCCTTAATATCACAGATTGTATTACTACCTTTCTAAGTGAATGACATTCAAGAAGGTCATTAAATAAAACCAAGAAATCCTTCTGGTATTAGAGTGTAGGAAAGTTGAGACTATAAAACCAAAAGATTATATTTACGTTTATTAGAGAAGGTTCTTTACTTTTTATAGGAAAACACAAAATGTTGCGATGTAGAGTCTAGGTGGTGGACCTCCTTGATCCACTTGGTGGATGAGGGCGACTCTGGTCCTGGCACCCATAGTGCCAGTGATCCAAAAATCATAGGGCCTGAATATAGCTCTAGCAGACGTATGCGGCTTGCGCATCGAGCTTGGTCGTCTCGAGCATGGAGATAGGCGAGTTGTAGACCAAGAGTTGGTACAGAGATAGGCGAGTTGTAGACAAGAGCTGGTGGGCAGCAAGAAACGCATGCACACCAAAGAACAAATCTGAGTCACATGCCTACTTCTATTGGTTTCTACAAAGAGCGGCTAGCTTAGATCTTAGACCAGTCGGTCACTGTCGAGGTCGCCAAGGTGATCTTACAGCACCGCCGTGTAGATTTCTCATGATTTTATGTAGGCAAGCCGCAAGCGGTGGTGGTGATTGGCTGGGTGGTGTCGCTGCCTTGGGAAGAGACGAAGTGATGGTAAAAGTAAGCAGGATCCGATGATTCTTCCGTGGGGATAGCCAAAGTCAAGATGTCGACTACAGACTCGTCGCAGACTTGCAGTGAACCTGGATGCGGCGAGCCTGATTTGTGGATTGACGGCGGGTCTTGACTTTGTTAGGCTGGGATTGGATGGTTGCGGAGGGTGGTGTGCTTGGTTGGGTTCCCATGGAAGAATGTGGCCTCCTCGTGGATCTGGTCATGCCCATCCTAGAGAACATTGTGTCCCTAGCTCCCTCGAGGAGCAAGGACAGTGCAAGCGGCAGCAGGGGGTAGGGGTAGATGTGGGGAGGGATGTCGGCGGCTGCTCGAGGTCATCATGATGAAACCCTTGACGTCCCATCTTTATCAATGGAAGTGGAAGAGCACGAAGTCGAGATTGGATAGGAGTTTGAGTTCTTTTTGGCACCGATCGGTTCCCCATTTTAGAGATGTATTTCTTTTGCGTGCGAGCAAATAGTGGGTTGATTCTAAAAGGGATAGGCACTTTTCAACAGAAGTGCATGACGGACCAAAAATATGACCTCATTTTATTCGTTTGATAGATATCATATTATTCGTTGTTGTTCGTTCGGTGAAATTTCCTAATATTTGATTGTTGTGTTTCTAATTAGAGCACCCCATAATCACCCAATATGAGGGGATGATAAATGAAAGATACTGATTATAAATTTTGAAGAGCCCGTGGCAACGCACGGCGTTATACTAGTAAGTACTAAAGGAAGATGGGTATATGGAAATACATACTTAAATATGTAGAAAATATTCTGGATGTGACCTTGTTTTCCTCTCAAGGAATCTTCAACACTAGTCTAGCTACCTGGGAAGGAGAATGTTGGACAAAAAATATCAGCCCAAAAAAATCGTTCCACGTACAGTAGTACAGTAGTAGGCAGAAGGGTCCTATCTCGCTGATACTGACCGAGTGACGGCCGGCTTGGCCGCGCTCGCCTCGTCTTCACTGCAAATGGAAATCGCTGTCACCCGTCGAGTGAACCTCAGTCAGTTTGTTGCAAGTTGCGTTTGCCGGTTGCATGCTTTGATCGAGATTGTGGGTGCGTGCAGATAAGGGAGTCCCGGCCGAAGGTGACGCTGGTGGCGCGCATGGCGGCGTCGGTGGCCAACTACGACTACATCGTCGACTGGGAGTTCCAGACCGACGGCCTCATCCGCATCAAGGTAAGTACGTACGCCATCCATCTTCCACCCCAAAACGTACAACAATTTCACCTTTGTCACGCTCACAAAATAAAAGCAGAGCACAGTGTGGTTCGTACGTGTCTGCTCTCTCATTGGTGCAAGGTAAAAATATCAGGCTTCTTGCTTTTTATCAGTGGAGCTTCAGGTCATAAGAGCACCACATGCATTGCGCTCGTACGCCATATCCTTGGGGGCATTGAGTGCCCAGTTTGCCGGAATAAAACGGGGTGTCATTTTCGCTCCTTCCGTCACTGCCAAGTAAACTTGTCCAACGTGCACTGTCTTTGCATAGTTCCTTGCATCCGTCTCCATCTTGGGTAGCTTTCCCCCTTTTATTTCAGCAGAAACAGTGGAAGGGTGTCCAGGAATGATGATTTAATTACTTGTAACTGAAGTAGTTACATAAAACGTGTTATATTAATTTACAGAGGGAGTACATAATAGAGATCAAAATACGAAAATGAATGATTTGATTGTTCCATTTCCCCCCAAGTTCACATGATCTTCCCTCAATGGTTTCAGGTCGGGCTCAGCGTGATCCTGATGGTGAAGGGCACGCCCTACTCCCACATGAACCAGGTCCGGCAAAATGAGGAGATGCACGGCACCCTCCTCTCCGAGAATGTCATCGGCGTCATCCACGACCACTATGTCACCTTCCGCCTTGACATGGACATTGACGGCGCCGACAACTCCTTCGTCCGCGTCGAGATGGCCCGCCAGGACACCGCGCCCGGGGAGTCACCCCGGAGGAGCTACCTCAAGGCCACGCGCCACATCGCGAGCACAGAGAAGGACGCTCGGGTCCGGCTAAAGCTCTACGAGCCGGCCGAGTTCCACGTCATCAACCCGACAAAGAAGACACATGTCGGGAACCCGGTGGGCTACAAGGTCGTCCCTGCAGGCACTGCGGGTAGCCTGCTGGACCCCGAGGACCCTCCGCAGAAGAGGGGTGCATTCACAAACAACCAGGTGAAACGTCTACTTGCACAAATTTAAGGCTTTTTGCGATATCACTATGAGGAGATGCGCATACTACCTTCTTGATGCCGCGTTATGGATTATTGTAAAAGCACCCTTTAACAAGGGAGAAAAACAGGTCGCGCACATACTTGGTGAAAATCAGTTTGTCTTCATCATTTGGTTTTGTGCAACAGATTTGGGTCACGCCCTACAACAAGAGTGAAGAGTGGGCCGGTGGGCTGTTCGTGTACGAGAGCAAAGGCGAGGACACGCTGGCTACTTGGTCGGAGAGGTACGTTTGTGTATGTACAAAAACCAGTGGATTTGATGATCCGAAAAATGTTGGCCGTCTGATCTGCGTATGTGGGCTCACAGGGACCGTCCGATCGAGAACAAGGACCTGGTGCTGTGGTACACGCTGGGGTTCCACCACATCCCTTGTCAGGAGGACTTCCCCATCATGCCCACTGTGTCGTCCAGCTTCGACCTCAAGCCGGTCAACTTCTTCGAGAGCAACCGCATCCTCAAGCAGCGGCCCACCATGGAAAAGGACCTCCCCGTCTGTGCCGCTACCGCCTGAGACCATGCACTAGGATACATATGTGCTCGAAGACAAACCCCGGGCACACTGGGCTGTTACCCGGGGCATGAGGCCATGTGGGGATCCCGGCCTTCCGGCAGCACCGTGCAGTGCCCCAAGCCTTACATAATCCTGCCTCCTCCTCTGGCTACCCAATAGCCTAGTATGTATAGCTCTATGTTTGTGTTGTATCGTGCTTCCCCCTTCATGAATATGAGGTGTATTTAGGCTGTCTAAGAATCTTGGACCGACGGTAATAAATTGGGTGCCGTACATGAAGGAAAATTAAACCATTGGATCATGTTTAAAAGTAATGTTGTATTGTTATAGTTTGTAACTTTTAATAGTATGCATACAACAAATTTGTGGCCTGAGTTTAAACTCAGACAAGTAAAATACATCCGGTCAAACAGAGAATGGCCGTACTAATATCTCTACTACTTAAATAATTAGTATTCCTTTTCTTACCAGGCAAAACTCTCCGTCAACCGGTCCCCTTCCTCCCACCTGTGAGAAATAGGGTTAAGAGTGTGCATCTGCAGGGACGCGTCATGTGTTAATATAGGGCCGAAACAGGGGCGGGCCCAGGATTTAAAGAGAGTGTAAATTTCAATGGCTATTTTAAAGCCATAAATCCTTCTTTTTGGCATGTTTAATTGAGTATAGCACCATATTATACTAACGATATACTCCCTCTGTAAACTAATATAAGAGCGTTTAGATCACTATTTTAGTATTCTAAACGCTCTTATATTAGTTTACGGAGGGAGTATTATATAAAAGATATAACATAATATAATATAATCGTAAAATTGTTCATGCTTCGAAATTGTTCAACAGATAGAAAGACTAATTAGTCAACATATCAAAGTGACAACATTAAGATATAGGAGAACAAAAGATAGGAAGTAGAAAATGATTAGAAAAAAGTTACAAACTATAGGAGAACTAACTTTTATAAATAATTATCATTGTAATAATTCCCCAATTTATAAACATTAATTCCCACATTGTAATTCATGTGGAAAATCGCAAATCGTCATGTCTAAACAATTCATAATTCATTGCAAACAAATTTCTAATTTTAAAATACTAAAATAGAAATCCAACTAACCATGCTAACTTACTGTTATAAGTCAAATGCTGGACAACGGAAGAAGAAGACGACGTGCTAACACCTGCAGATCCAAATTTTAACAGTCGGATGATTAATATGTTAAGAAACACGAACACCTCAAATTATCAATCAGATTTTGAACGACTGAACTTGTGCTTTGGAATTGGAAGCCTACTGAGAGCCTTCGATGCGGTGATGCCTGATGCTGCCAACTGTCGAGATGGATTAAAGATGAAGCGAAGCTGCGAGGGTTGAGGGACGGATGCCATCAGATGCTTGCGTCGCTGCCGCCCGCCTACCTGTGCCGCCGTGCGCGCGTGCGTTCAGGGGACGGCGATGTGCCCTGCCGCCATGCCCTACCCACGACTCCACGAGTGCGAAGTTGCGAACAGAATTGGGAGGCGCCGGCTCGTCTCGTGTGATATGCCTTTTTAGCGAAGCGCGTGCAGGCCCTGCATCTGCGGCGATTTGGGCCACTTGGGCCAGGTCGGGGTGGTGAGGACCACAGAGAGAAGTGGGCTAGTCTTTGTTTTCGGGCTGAAATCCTTAGCTGGCCTTTATTTCCTGCATCGATTTCGTTTTCCCCTACGTACAGATGAAATACACTATATATATAAAGTTTTTTGCCAAATATCATGGGTATTCAACCGAATACCCTTGAATTGAACTGGGCCCGCCCCTGGGCCGAAACCAAGGAGATATACATGGTAGTTGGGCGTGGATTGATCTCCAAGATCGTATCACAACAACCCAACAGATTACAACGCACACAATCTAATCTATATGGTTTATACACATACCGTATTGTACAATGTTTACTACTCCCCTCAATCACAACTACCTAAGTTGAGATTGTGCCAAAAAGCTTATAACTATCGCAAAGTACGCGGTTTAGTAACCCCATCTGCAACTTGATCGCTACAATAGAAGAAACATGCTAATTCATGACATATTCAATGCGTCACAGGTAAGTCAAAAACCGTCGTGGATGCACGTCCATGACACACTACAAGGAAATACCTTATAGGTAGATACTTAGCAGTAGCGCCGGGTAAGGGCCCCAAGCCGCTGTTAAGTAGCAATAGCATGGGTAACAACCCCACGCTACAAATACAGATTAGCAGCAGCGCGGGTGGACAAACCCCACGCTGCTACTAAGTGGGCCCCACGGTACCTCCGGGTCGGGCCGTATGATGATGATATGATGAGACTAGCTATGTTGTAGCACTTTGACAATGATGCTGACGCTGAGACATTCTTGTCTCATATAGTAGTTTCAATGTATGTGCCTGTTGTTATTGTATGCAATCTGTATAAATACAACATAAATACATAGAAAACATACAGAAAATCTTCAAAAATAAAATGAAGGAAAAAATGGAAAAGAAAGATAAAAATGAAACTAAAGAAAAATGAACAAAAACCATATAAAAACAGACAGAAAAACACACAAAAAAACTAATTGCGAGAAGAAAAAAGAAAGAAAAACCGCAGCACCTATACAATGCTAATTGGGTTGGTCCGATTTCATTGAGGGGTGATGTGCCTTGTACGGCCTGAAGCGCAAAGTGAGGCACGAAGCGGCCGACGAGGTACTAGTCCACTAGTGTTTCTCAAAAAAAAGGTAGTCCACTAGTCCTTCGCGGGAGGACTGATCTCGACCTAACTCATGCAACGGCCGACGAGCGAGCTCAATCTGGCTCTAATGCTCCTCGATCAGCCGTCCCTCGCCCTGCACCCGTGCTCTCCCTCCTTGCTCCCTGCTCCCCACTCATCGTGATGCCCTACAACCACGCCTCATTCCCCAACGCGGGTCATGGCGACAGAGTTCCCCGGTGCCCTTCCAGCCCCGGCAACCGCTTCTCCTGCGCCATCGGCCCGTCGCCTAAGTCACCCTCTCCCGGACAAACTACTACTCCCTTCGTTTCTTTTTAGTCCGCGTATAAGGTTTGGTCAAAATCAACTTTGTAGAATTTGACTAATTTTATATGAAAAAATTATAAACATTCACAATATGAAATCAATATTATCAGATGCACCGCGAAACGTATGTTCATATTATATAATTTTAGTATTGCAGATGTTCATATATTTTTATATAAATATGGTCAAACTTTGTGCAGTTTGATTTTAACCAAATCTTATATACGGAGTAAAAGGAAACAGAGGGAGTACTGTAGAATGTTGTACTGGCCAGTTTGATTATATAAATGGTGATGAGAACGCAGACGCGTGCGGAAAAATAAAATAAAAAACAAAATCCGAAGAAAGCGTCCAAAACGTGACACGTGGCGAATGACTGAGAACATGCCAAGTGGCATTGATCGTCGCGAGGCTTCCGAAGGAGCGCTCGTTAACTAGTTGATCTGCACTTTAGAGTTCTTGAGAAGTATCTCTGAGGCTAATTGCATGAGGTAGTCGAGCAAACACACATGTGCGTCTTTGTTGGCCAGCCGAGTAGGGCTCTAGAACTCATGTATTTTTCTTCTTCCGTTTGATCCAGTTTTATTCATATCAAACATGGTTATCAAAAAATGGATTGCCCGGTTGAATATTTTTGTAAAATATGAATAATTCTTGCATCACTGATTTTTTGCATCAATTATTTTTTTCAAACATAATTAGTTTTATAATTTTGTGTGATTTTCCTAAAATTCTAAATATTTTTTTACTTGTGAACATTTTCTAAAAGTTCTGAACATTGTTTTAAAATTTGTGATTCTTTGAAAGTATAAATTTTTGAAATTGTGCGAAATACAAAAAATGAACTTTTTAAATATTGAGAGTTTTGAAAGAAACTAAAAACTGAAAGTACACAAGTAAATAAATAAAATAAAATAAAATGTAAATAAAAATCCAAAATTAAACCCGGTAGATAAAACAACAGAAAATAATAAAAAATGACACAAGAACCTCCCTAAAACTAGAAAACAGTACCCAAGAACCTTCCCATAACTGGTAAACCTGGCTTGCTTCTGGATTGGGCCGACGCAAAGTCGCATGGCTTGTATGATTGGCCAACTACTTGACGTAAAGAGCGTCAAATATGATTTACCCTAGTTGAAGTCCATAGAAATATATATGCATCCGCTTTTTGAAATTTCACAACATAAATAAAATAAGAAATAATGCCATGGTAGATAAATATTAAAATTTAGCATAAGTTCATCTTCTACCAATAAATTTGTATTGCTAAAAATTATGAATAAAACAAGCAAGATCAAATAAACATATAGGCCTCCTTTGGTTGAAAGGAGAAGTGGAGGAAATTGTAGGAATGGAAAATTTTCCCGTGGTGCTATTGTTCATGCCTTTGTTTCAAAGGAACAAGGGAAAGGAAAAAATGGAGGAAATTTTCCTTTGACCGTTGTTTTAAAGGAAAACAAAGGTATTCATACATCTTTTCAAACTCCTATCCACCACGAATGAGACTAAGGGCCTCTTTGGATTGGAGGAAACTAGAAACATAGGAATAGGAAAAATACAAGACTGAGTTGTAACTTAGTGTGAATTGCTATAGGATTTCACACAAGATTTTTTTTGGAGTTGCCTTTGGATGGTGCATAAGAAAAACACATGAGTTTTGAAGGATTGTTGACAGAGAGTAGATAAAGATAGAGCGAAGTGCATCGACCTTCTCGAAGGAAAAATAAAGCGAGGTTTGAACTCATGTTGAAATTCCTATGGAATTAAGGGCATATGAATTGCTTCCATAGGAATGTGGTGAACTCACTCCAACAATCCAAAGGGCCTTTATAGGAAAAAAAAGTCCTAGGGATTAGAACCCTCCAGAATTCTTATGAAATTTCTTCATTCCAAAGAGGGTCTAACCACGTAAGATCCTTAGTGGCATATTAACATTCCAACTATACATTTTCAAATA